TCTTTTTATATTTATTATTATTATTATTTTATTTATATTATATTGATTTTATTTATTATTTCATTTATTATTATATCATTTCTTTTTTCTTATTATTTTTTTATCATTTATTATTATTCATTTGTTTTTCTATCCTATATCTATATCATATGAAATTATTATATATTATATATTACATATTATATATTAATCATATAATATTTATATTTGATTATATAATATATTTTTCTTCTTTTTTATATTATTTCATTTTTTATTTGAATATATTTGTTTTTGTATTTTTGTTATTTATTTTATTTCTTATTTTTTGTGTTTATTTTATTCTTATTTATCATATTTATCATTTATATATGTTATATTTGATTTTATTAATTATATCATTTAGTATTTTATTAATATAAATATTGTGTTTATTATTTTATTATTTATTATATTTTATTTTTATATTTCTTTTTCTATCTATTTTTTATTATTTTTATTTATTATATATATTTCTTTTTTCTTATTCTGTTATTATTTATATTTTTTATTTATTTGATTCATTCGATTGTTTAATAAAAAATATATTCATTTTTATTCTTTGTTTATTATTATTTTTATTAATTATTTTTATTTATATATTGATTTGATTAATATATTTGTATTATATCATTTTTATATTTATTATTATTTATATTTTGTATTATTATTTATTTATTATTATCATTTTTATTTTTATTTATCATTTTGTATTATATTATTCATTATTTCATGAATTTAATATTCATTATGAAATCATTTATTAATTATTTCATTTTATAATGATATGTTAATTAAATTGTTTGTTATCTCATATTAATTATTCAATATTTAATGATAGAATTTAATGATATAAGATTAATATAATAGATATAAATAAAATGATGAATATTGAAACAATCATTTAAAATCAAAAATAAATAATAAGAAATAAGAATATAATATAAATAATAAATAATAAAGAAAAGAAAGATAATAAAAGAAATAAATAATAAATATAAATCAAATGATAATATAAAAATCAAATAATAAATAAATGATAAATAAATAAGAATAAACAAAAATATAATAATATTAAAAATTAAATCAAAACAAAATAATCAAAACAAGAAATGAAAATATGAATAAAATGAAAATAAATAAAATAAAAAATTAATAAATAAATAAATAAAGAAGAGGAATAATAAGAAAGAAAAGAAATATAAATAAACATAATAATAAATTAAAATAAAATAAGAAATGAAAATATAATAATAATAAATAATAAAAATATGAAAGAATAAAGATAATAATAATAATATAAAATGATAATATTAAAGAAATTATTAAAATATAAAATAAAGATAAAAGAAAACAATGAAATATAGAATAAGTTCATTTTAATATAAATCATTTAAATAATTAAATAATAAAATTATTTTATAATATTGAAATATTTCATAAATATAATAAAAATGAACAAATAAAAGAATAGAGAAAAATAAATAAAAGAATAATAAATAATAAAATAAAATAATCAATATATTAAAAAGAAAAAAAGATAATAAATTATATATATAAATAAAAATCATAAAAATAAAAAAGAATAAAATAATTTATATCAATAAAATAATGTTAAATAATTTTATATCAATAAATTAAACGCTTTTTTATTTCATATTTCTAATTTCTATAATAAAAAATGCATCCATTATTTCATCATTCTTTTCATCATTTATTTTTTCTTTTTGAAATATTCCTTTTTATATTCTTTCATTTTATATTCTCTACTTTCTTCTTTTATTCTTTTCATCATCTTCTACTTCCTAATTTCACTTTTTTTCTTTCATATCCTTCTTTTTCATCACCTCTCTTCCTTTTTCTCTTATTTCCTTTTTTTTCGTAACCGAAATGATAAAGAAAGAAATACTCATAGAAAAGAAGAAAATAAAAAACAAAATTAAATTGAATAAGAAATAAGAAGAGATAAGGAAAATAAAAAATATAATAATTAACAATACTACACAAACATTAAAAGAATAAAGAGAAATAAATAATATAAAGAAGAATATATTAATACTAAAACATGAAATTAAACAAATAGAATATTTAATCAATATGAAGAAGATTGTACATTAACAAATAAGATAGAGAATAAATAAAATAATAAGAAGAAATGAAAGAAGATTAAATAAATTATATAATATCATAATAATGAAATAATAAGATAATAAGAGATGAAAATGAAATAGAATTAATAAGAACTATTATGTATTATGAAATTAAAGAAAATAATAAAATATAAGAATGAAAATTTGAAGAGATTGTATAAATCATGTATATGAGAATAAATAAAAATGAATTTAATGAAATCTATACTACTGGAACAAAAAAGAACAACTCATCATATAATAAAATATATAAATATTAAATATTAAATTTAATGAAATATATATTAATAAATTGAAATTAAATAATATACATAATTATTTAATAAAATACAATAAATATGAAATGATAAAAAATTAATAATTAAAATATTAAAGAATATTAATATAAAATAAATTGATTATAAATAATTTAAATTATTCCATGAAAATTATATATTTGTATAAATTAATAAATTATTAATTAATTTTGATAAATAAATAACAAATTAAATATGTTTATTATAAAATAATTATATTATTTAAATAATTTATTATATTTATTAAATGTTAATATTTTTATTAATAATATTATTTATTTATTTTAATTAGATATTATTTATATGAAAATTATGATTTAAATAAAAATATTTATAAAATAATATATTTAAATTCAATTTATATATTTTATTTTATATTTATTTATTATTATTTATTAAATTCTTTTTTTATTTATAATTATAAATTAAATAATGAATAAAAAAATATTTTATTTTTATTTTTAGATATATACATTATTATATTATTTAAATAAATTAAAATAGTAAATATTATTATTATTTCATTAAAATTTTTATAAATTTATAAAGATTTATTAATTCTATATTTATTATTATTATAATTTTATATTTATAAATAAATTTATTTTTAATTTTCATTCTTTGAGATATTTATTTTAATTTATTTATTTATTTTATTTATTATTATAAAACTTATTATAATTTTTTATTTATATTATTTATTTTTCTTTATTTATTTCTTTTTTCATAATTATTTTTTTATGGTACAATTTAATAATAATATGATAAATCATTTATGGTATATTAATAATTATTTAATTATTTATATTTTATATAATATTTATTAATTATTTTATTGTTTAATATCTAAAACAATTATTTTCTTTTCTCTTTTATTATTTTATAGTTTTATATTTAAAAAATCAAATTTAATTTATTATAGTTTATTATATTATCAAATATATAATTATTTTTATTTCATATTCATTTAATTAATACAAAAAGAATA